TCACGGTGGCTGGTTGGCACGGTTGGGAAGTACGTATCGTACCCGCTCCGCTCGTACCTGTCGGTGGGCCTGGGGACCGCCCGGACCTCGGCCAGCCTGGCCTCGAGGCCCGCGCGGCCACGTCCCGCCTCCCCCGCTCCTCCTCCTCGTTCATCGAACCCGCTTCTTCTACCGGCGACGTACGTTGCTTTCGCTCACCGGCTCGCCGCGAGCACCCCGTCTCCGTGGCGTGCAGCGTGTCGCGGGTGCAACGAACGGCGACCAGGCCTCGCCGGCGCGGACGGTACGTAGGTGGTCGTAGGACGAGTAGCAGGGCCGCATGCAGGCAGCGGCGTCGGTCTAGCCGGGGAAAAAGTCTAAAATAAACCTTGAAGTTATAGACGAAAGCTAAATCAAAACCCCGAACTTTGAATCCCGAAAATTAGCACTCTGAATTTGCAATCCCAGTCTATTTTGGACCCTAGACCTGTTTGGCAAACTAGGAATAGTACAATCCCGGCCGGGATAACCAGCTACCCTTACGGACAAGAATTTGTGCCGGCCCACTACAACACAACAAGATTTCGTGATGTTTCAAAAATGTTCGCACATTTTTAAAATTGTTCAGAAGTTAAAAAAGTGTCCCTGCTTACTATTTTTGGCGCAAATTCAATTCATTTTCTGTTTTTTTAATGTTTTGCATTTTAAAATTTTATTCGCATTTTAATAAACTGTTCGTGACTTCAAAAAGAAAAACACATTTGCCAAAAATGTTCATAATACCAACAGTTTTTCAGATGCTATGATTTTTTTTTCAGATTTTCAAATTGAGTCACGTTTTTAAAATATGTTTTCCGAATTTCATCAACTATTTCGGAAATAATGTTTCTAAAAAATGTTTTCAATTGTTGGCTGCGGAATAGATTGTGCCGGCCCACCAGACATGATGCGAGTATTTTTTTGGCTTCACACGAGACATAAAAATTCATTCTTTCTTTTTCTTAACGCGTGACGTAACAATTCCAAAACAAAAAAAAACGTGCCGTGGAGTCGAACATAAAAATATTCAAATAGTGGTACCGGGTCCAAAACATAAAAATATCAAAGTTTATCAAAAAATATTTAATGTCTGCGTTCAAAATGTACATTGGGCACTGAGGAAAATTAGACATGTGTAAAAATGAAAAAACGTAAAAGAAAAAAAAAGACTAGTGCGCGCGCACGAGCGACTGTGCTACTGGGCCGGCCCAATTCAGCAAATACCGGCCGAGTCCTCTCAAGATTTAAAATAGACCGAGATTATAAAGTTCGGTGTGCTGATTTTAAGGATTGAGAGTTCGGGGTTTGATTTAGCTTTTGCCTACAAACTCAAGGTTTGTTTTGGACTTTTTCCTCTAGCCAGTGAGAGATGTCCACGTCCCGCGAGCAGCGCGCCTATTCTGGGGAAGCCGAGCGCAGTGCGCTACAGCCTGTCCGCGCGGACCGAGGACCCTGACGGACGGGCGAACGTGCGGGTGGGCCCACCCGTCATGGGCACGAGCGGGCGTCGGCAGTGGGGCAGGGGAGGTAGGGAACACGTACCCGCCGTACGGTACGGGCGTATGGATATATGCATGCATGCATGGCTCGCTCACTCCCGTCGCGTCCGTCCACTCGTACTTTGCACAAGAGTTTCATTCAGCCACCACACACCGGTGGTGGTAGACCATCGACAAGACAAGTGCGATGCGGATCGAAACCCCACAACAAGCTCGGTCGAACTTGATGGACCCAAACGAAACAAGATATGCATGGCTCGCGCAAAATCACTGTTCTAGACCTTCGTGCCTAGCTAGGTTTTGGACCATTTGACCGTGCTTGGAATATAAACGGATCTCACCTTTTTACTATCAACGTTGTCTCTGGCAGTAGGGTATCACAACTTACGGTCACGGTCAATGGCGATAGGAAGTAGGCTAATCGTGTTTTGCGCCGTCTAGGCGCTAGCTGGCGTGGATAAGTGGCTACCGTAACGGGCCTCAGTGGTAGACCACGACGGTCCTTGGCGCAATGTTCCCATGACTTATTACCGTCCAAAATATATATATTTGCAAGGTCCAAAAGCTTTTCCTTAATGTCCTACCGCTAAGGACCTTCGTGGTTGGTCCCATGACCTATCGTCCAAAAAGATATTTGAACTACATGGTCCATATAAGCTTTTAATTAAAATTGGCGGTGCTTTTCATTAAATTTGGGCGTCCTACCGCCAAGGACCTTGATG